TCTGAAATGACTCTCGAGGTGTAACTAAAATCTTTTTTTGCCATCAAAACTTTGTTACCATCGATTTATGTAGTTTGAGCTGCCTCGATCTACACCTCAAACTCGCATCACGATTAGTTAATCAATCCATCCCAAGGATTACACCAAACTCTCATAACGATAATTCCATCATGTCATTAGGAAATGTTTAATCTTGAATCTCTACAGAACATCTACGGTGGACCTTGTCTACCAACACATCTAACCTCAAAGGACTTGAGATACAGACCTTAACCTCTAAGTCCTTAGATGGGATATCACTCTCGGATAAGGTCATAAAAAATATATAAATAGATTAACTCGAGATCTATTAATGCAGTGACTAGCATGCTAAAAACTATAAATATACCTGAGATGACATCGACAAGCTCGTAGTCCTCCTGAGCTTTGACAGTGTATTAGCGGGAATCAACTCTAGCCTCGATTCTACTACAGATATGGCGGTACCCTTACTTTTCTACCCGAAAGTTGTACTATCTCATCACTAGTAAGATCCTTGACCCCTCTATGAAGACTGGTCAAACTTGAGCGGATGGTGTAGTATTTTATGCCTCGAGACAGTCTCTAACAAGGTGCTCGAGGGATTTGTACCCATAGCAAGCTCGAGAAACTCTATGGAAATTCTCTAAGTGCCTCCTTCTATAATGTATGTAAGTCAAGGTTTGCATGGTCCGATTTGATCCACTGGTACTCACCAAGGATGCTGAAGTCAAGGGTCTCCTATGATCCCTTGATTTGTGCCTACAGTTTGAAGCATGTCCCGACCTCTGGACTGGGAAGAGAAAGGTCTATGTGACCCTCGAGAGTCTCTGGACATCTTGTTTGAATGCTAGGATGGTTTCGTAGTGTCAGGTGCTCGATGACTCTAACCTGTAGAGCTGCTCATCAGACTAGCTCTCATTCTTAGAATCCGCTCAACTGCCTTGGCCTGGCGGGTTAGCTCAATAAACACTCTCAGTGGGTCAGCTACCAAGGGTATGAGAATATCAATGTGGAGGTGTCTCTGAACCTTCTGCAGTGGTTCTCCTAAGTGGACACTAACTCAGGCGCATAGTGGCTCAATCGAAAAAACCCACTCTCATACTCGTAAACTTAGCGATCTTCTTGAGTCAGCTGGGTAAACTACTCTCTCAAGTAATCAGCGTGGGACTCACCTATGTATTTTCCCTTGAACTCATACATCAAAAGATCCCACGTCGGATGCTAGGGCTCCAACGCCATTTCCACTGTCTCCCACCAATAAATCGCATCACCTTTCAACAGGGTAGTTATGCACTCAAGGTTACCCTTAGGAGTAAGGTGAAGTTGTCGCATGGTGCAAAGGGTCTCGCGGAGCCACTGGTCAGTGTTACAATATCATCCTTATCTGATCTGAAAAAAGTCAGTGGTCTTGTACTGGTAGAGTTTTCGACGGGGGACTCATGAGGAGCTACGAAAGATGGATTAGGTGGTGCGGGTGCTCTAAGGATAACCCTAACTATGTGCCTTAATATCTACGTAAGGTCACAGAAAAACATCTCATCTATGCCCGTCTCCTCCTGGACATCTCTTTCATACGTGTTGGGGATAAACCCATTCTCTGAGTTTTCATTTAGGAAGACATACTCTCCTTGCGCCCTTTTTGGCTATGGGCGAGATCGTTAGCCAAAACCAACGATTTTCATAAAGAAAAATGAGTCAGCATCGCCATTTCTAGTCATTTTAAGTACGCTTGACACTCTAGAGGCATGTACTTCATATTTAATGAATCTAACCCACAAGTCCTAGAAATGACTAAACCTAATACTCTGATACCACTAAATGTAACACCTTACTCTAATCTGACCCGAAAATCGATGGACCATGATATTACATAAACCACCAAGTGGTCAACCATTTTTTAAATGTTTCATCAAAAGATTAATAATATATATCATCCAAAATACCATGTGCTGAAAAAGTAATAGTAGTTTAAATACAAGGGAGATCCCGACATAAGTATCCAAAAATGATAATAAATAGAATACAAAGATTACGACTCAAATACACATAAGGGTATATGAAAGTACATATCTACTAAATACTCAAGATGTACTCTGAAAGGATTAAGTCTAAAAGCTCTGAATCAGCGATATGCTCCTTAAACTAGCACCTAAGGAGCTGTGCACGAAAACATACTCCATACGTTGAGCCCACAAGCTCAGTGCCACATAAATAACCCTACAATACTACATGCATCCAACATATAAGCATGATGCAGTATAGAAATGAACAATTGCAAACACTCAAGTAAACAAGTAAGTATCATGGTGTAGTTCGAGGTCACTACGCATCATGAAACTCACACCCCTCTTTACTTACAACAACACATAAGGAAGACTTGTGTCACATAACATCTAAATTTCCTTAAATTCGAGTTAGGTTTGAGTAATGAAGCATCGATACTTTACCTGACTAGTCTACTCCTCTAGAGTACTCGGGATGCGTCCAGGTCACATAGCATTGGTACAACGTCCAATTGGCAATTAGAGTGCCTAAGCACTTATTTGGAATTATCTGGATAATCTTTACATGTTGATACTAACGTCATTAAGTAACTTAGGTGTCCTCATCATTTTCTCGAGCATAAAAAAGCATAAGTCGTATGGAATACTACCTCATTAAGATCTTATGTTATCACACGTTTAGTTATGGGTTTTCTCCTGTAATCTTATGCAAAGGTAACACTTAGCTTCCCATGGGTCCCTCAAGTCAATTTCCATAAATTTTTAGTCCTATCTTCCCTAAATCTAATCGTTGGTATCGATATTGGTCCTTTAGTATCGATACCCATGACCCAGTCTCAATACCCTACACTAGTCTCAAAACAAAAAATAGCTACTGGAATCTGGGTCTCGATACCAAGCTTGTTGGTCTCGAGATTGTGGCCCCGGTATCGATACCCCTGATTTGGTATCGATACCACTGCCCATAAAGCATAGGTTTTCCCCAGATGAAGAACAGTCTTGATACCGACCTTCTAATATCAAGACCGAACCTACAAAATACATTGTTTTATCACGAAAAACCTAACTTTCTATCCTAAAACCCCTAAAAGGGTCTTCAATTAATGTTTAATGCTTATTCAAACTACAAGGGCATATGTGGACTACTACTCTACACAAGAACACACCATTTTCATGCCTTGAATCCCCCACCCAAGTGCACACAAAGGCTCAAGCACTCAAACATGCATCAAACTCTATATTTTGATCTACAAGTACTAGATAAGGGTTAGTAATGTGTTATTTTTCACCTAAGAGTTGCAAAACAACCCCAAGCTCACCCAAGAGTCTCATTTCCTTTGCATTGACCTTTTGAGCTTTTCCTTACTTCTCTCACTTAGATTCCTTAAACAATGAATATGGCTCTCAAAGTTTTCACCTTTAATCCAAATTTGAAGAGGAAGAATAATAGAGTATGGAAGGGAAGAAAAATAGAGTATGGAAGGGAAGAAGGAATAAGACAAAGTGGATGAAAAAGAGGAATGAGAGAGTTTTGCATGTATACATTACCCTCCTTACTTGATATTCAACCTTTGAATAGATTTTGGGGTTAATTGCACTCCTCATCCTCTAATTTGACGCACACTTTTAAAAATATCCTTTTTAAGCCCTATTGAGCTCAAACCTAAATCAAAACAACTATATATTGACCCAAACTCTTAAATGGTTTTCCTCAGTTCATTTAAAATCATTCAGGTTTTTACCGAAAATACTAATATGGGAATCGGTGTGTTACAAGATGTCTATAAATAATGCTTTTGAAGCAGAGAAAACAACATACATCAGTAATACTTATACTATTAACATATATCGACTTCAGAAATCTCATAAACATTGGATTTGAAGCGAAAACAATCCAACATGCATTAAGTTTGATTCGAAAACATGAAAATTACTTGCAACTATGAAGCACCAAAATTTTAACATGTAAATTTATTAAATTAAATTAAAATTAGAATCAAATTTGATAGAATGCATAAATAACGAGGACCAAATGTTAACGATAAGTGGCTTGATTGACATACGTAAATAGTTTAAGTAACCTGATTAATAAAATTTCAAAATCAATGCTCAAAATGAAAAGAGAAATGGTCATACAAATAGTTTACCTAAAAGTTATTTATATTAAATATCGATCACTAAAAATTATCAACCAAACTGTAATATACATCAATCGTTAACCATTACCAATACTTACCTTAACTTCTATTTTAAAATTTTAAACCATCAATTTTAAATCTAAACCATATAACCCTAAATCCTAAATAGACAATATGACAACATTAAAACACCTTCTATGGAATATTATTTCCACTTCCGGATAATGATTTTTTTTGTTAATATATGTTAATTGCAATTATACAATATTTTTAAAACCATACTCTTGTAAACCAATTTTTTAAATCCCTTAAGCCTATCTCTGGAATTATCAAGCTTATTGCTTTACACTAGAAAAGAATTGAAATTGCGTTGTTGATGGAAGTTATTTGTTCGAAGATATGAGAAAAAATTAATATCTTAAAATGGATAAATGAGACGGCGGGAATATGATGGCTCTTATTTCAGTACATTTACTAAAAAAATGTTATTTTTATGAAATAAGTCAAAGTATTTAAATGAGACGGCGGATAATGAAATGTTTTACAAGTAGTTTATATATATATATATAAACAATTAATATTTTAATATCATTTAATTTAATCTTTAAAATATAACTTTGAACTGATCAGTACTAATTCTTTTTATAAGCATATGATTTTAACACCACAGATGGTTGAATTGATTCCCCCACCATGGGAAAACACCGATGGTCGACATTCTTTGCTTTTTCTTTTTCTGTTTATAGCAATGTTCTTGTTTCATAAAATCCAACTTATTCAAGTATAATAACCGCACTTCCAAAGCATTATATAAACCCAGCTCCTTAATCATCCATAGACACTTACTTTTTAGGGTTTTATAAGAACTATATTGCATGGGAAGAGCTGCTTTTACCAAGGCTATGGTTTTAATGCTAAGGTACGCAGCGTTATTATTATTATTATTATTGTTCATGTTTTCTTTATCATGGTTGAGCATGTTGTTGTTCTTCCAAATAATATTTTCGGATCTCAGATCGAATAATTTAAGACGTTTCGTCGGACCTGTGCAGGGAAGCTAAGCGAAGTGAGCGACCTTTGAGCAAAATTGCAGGGGCCGACCGGGAGATCATTAACAAGTGCAACAGTAAAGACGGTGTCAAAGGTTCATCGACCTGGGTTCCACATCCAAAGAGTGGGATATACTTTCCTAAAGGCCAGGAATGGGTGATGGAGATGTTCCGGAACGGGCGGCTTCTTTTGGCCGAAGTTTTTGGGTCAGAAGCACAGACGGTGTCGATAAACCGGAGACTGGTGAATTACCATTTTACGAAGATCACTATTTCCATGCAAATATGTAATGATCAAATTAGTCAATAAAAAGAGTGAGTTAGTAGGAGATAAAGTATTTTGGCCTCAGCAGCTGAAGTTATCTGGGTTGGTGTTTAATCTTATTGTGTTATGATATTTAGATTTGTATTATATTTTAGATATTTAAAGTTGTATTATATTTTAATTAAATTTTAATTAACATGCTAATAATAAAATCTATATTTACTATCGTGATTATCAAGGAAGAACTCAAGATTTTATCTCGAGAGAGCAAACTCGAACTTATAAAATTTAGGAGGCAAACTTGATCTTATAAAATTCCACAAGAGAAAACAAATTTTTAATAAAAAATAAAAAGAAAAAAATCTAAAATATATGATAATTTTAATTTTCAATAGACAATCTTAAAAGCCAAATCTATTTAAAATTCTCAAATTTCAATCTTGAATAAATTAAACATAAATTATTCAAATTTAAAATTAAACTAATAAAAATCTAATTTAAAATTTTATTTTATTTTTAAACATTCCTATATATGTGCAGGGAAGGAGAATTTTACTCCTAATAGATATTGAACCTACAATCTAAGAGAGAGAGAGAGAGACGACAATTTAATCCGAAACTAATAGATTCCCATTCGACTCGACCTGATAGGATCGATTTCTTTTCTTTAAAAATGGATTCAGGCTGAGTCGATTTTATAAAGAAGTGAGGTCGGATCGGTTCAGGTGGAGAATGAAAATTTTAACCCAACCCGGGATAATAGTGAAATTTATTCAAATAAATTTATTGATAATTGTTGTAATATTTCCTATCTCTATTTTTTAATTAACTCCTTATTTTTATATATGGTCACTTCTGATAATATTTATATTTTAAATATTACGTTTGGGTCAGGGTCGGCTGGAGGGTATATATTTTTTTGAGTCGGCTCGAGTCAGGTGAAAGTTTATATTTTTTGGATATATCAGATTCAGGTAAAATGTATATATTTTTCGAATTGAATATAAGATATATATATATATTTTTAGTCGAATATATATTTTCAGAAAAAAAAATTACGTAATTTTCAGTTGAACAGACAGCAGATGAAGATTTTCCTAAAAAATAAATTATGGTTATAATAACGATCGTATGTACTCAATTTCATATTGCAATCCGACAGCTGATGCGACACTTAACGCGCGGATGCGTATAAATGCCGCTTCTCCTACAAACGTGTTAAATATTATGCTGAAGTACTCAAATAGTCATCTGACTATATTTTAGTATTTATTTGAGTCCTATGATTGTGAAAATTATATGAGACGTACTCAACTTTAAAAAATTAAAAAGTTAGTAATTTCGCATCCATAATTAATGAAATAACGTGTAAGTTAACAAAATTAGAACAATAAAAGTCTAATCCTTAATATTTATACTTTATTATAATTTCTTCTTAATTTTAAAGATTCGACCCTCAACCTTTAAATATTACATCAATTTAGTTCATATTCATCCTAATTCTAAAAGTTATTTTATTTGAGTAATTTTATTAAATATTTTTTTGCAACTTTATATTCTTCCTCACTCACATTTTTTCTTAATCTTCATCTCATCAAAACATGATAACAATTCAAAAAAATAAAGGAAAAGAGGGTTTTTATGATAGCAATCCAAAGCAAATTGGTATTGAAAAAATGTCTTTAAGATTATGAAACCCAAAAAAATGAAATAAAAAATCATACAAATAATAAATTTAAGTCTAAATTTTTTTCTCTTTTGTAACATATTTGTAAATATGATAGGTTTAGAACATATGTCTCTATAGCTAATGCAACAACTTTTGTTCCATTTCCCACTCGTAGGTCCACATCTCCTTTAAGATTCCTTCACTTTTATAGTCCCTGTACAGAAGTACAAATATGAGAACCACAATCGATATCTAATACCCAAGAAGTAGAAGTTGACAAATTAACATCAATAACATAAATACATGTAACAAATGTTTCGTTTTCTTTTTCCTTCTTGACCTCTTCAAGGTAAACAAGACAGTTTCTTTTCCAATGTTCAGTCTTGTCGCAATGGAAACATTTTCCTTCCTTGCAAACTCTGTCTTTGGGTTTTAGTGCATCTTTTCCTTTGGGCTTGGGCTTGCCATTACCCTTAGACTTTGCCACTATTTTGTTTTTTCCCTTTCCTTTGTCCTTGCGGACCATCATAATGAACTTAGGTCCAACCTTTTTCATGTTACTTTCAGCAGTTCGTAACAGGCCAAGTAATTGTGGCAAAGTTTTGTTAATTTCATTCATGTTGAAATTAAGGACAAATTAATTGAAGCTATTAGGCAACGATTGCAAAATATCAGTAGCCAATTCATTTTTCCAGAGGAAATCCCATCTTTTCCAACAGTTGGATATAACTCATCATCTTGATGAGATGAGCTCCTACAGGAGATCCCTCTGTCATTTTGCATTGAAATAGAGCTTTAGAGGTCTCATACCTCTCTTTACGTACTTACCCCTCATATATTTCATTGAGATTTTGGATCATCTCATATGCAACCATGCCCTCATGTTACTTATGAAGGGGTTATGGTGGCAAGCATAAGCCATCCGACATCTAACATGTCATCCATATGTTTCTTAAACTTGTCTTTGTCAGCTCTAGTAGCATTAGTTGCCGGTTCGTCAGGAACGAGTTCTTCAATAATATATTCCTTTCTTTCCTATTTGAGGACAATTCTCAAATTACAGAACCAGTTAAGGAAGTTTATGCCATTCAACTTCTCCTTCTCAAGGAGTGATCGTAGTGATAATGTGTTGTTTGTCATTAAATCCACAATAACAAAAATAATTGAAGTAAGTAAATTTATCGAATTTAAAATTTATAAATAGGTATTTCTTTACAAATTACACCCACTATTTTATTCAAAATTAAAAACCCTCATGTTTTAATTTCGGAAAAAAACATCTCCAAAATTTTTCTAGTGAGTAAAGATCCATATTTGATCCATTTCCTAAATCAACTTTGGCTTTTCTTTATAATGGTTATTTAGGTAAGTAACACCTTACTAATTACATCTCATGTAACTTCTCCATTTGGTGAACAACTCTTGTTCAAATCTTCTTATGATTTATCCAAATAGTTAACCATTAGGTTTTTAATCCTATTAGAATAACCTAGCTAAGTTATTACCAATATTTCAACCAATGAATCACTTGCTTATTCTTCGCGTTTAACCAAGATAGATTCAAGTTCCATCACTTTGGCAAACCCACATGATATCAATCAAAGTCTAACGAGGGTAAATATTGGATGGTTAAGATAACTTAGATTTTAATGAGGGATTTGCATAATTATCCCATCATTGTTTACTTTAATATTTGGCCCTTAATGATGTCATCAATCTATTAGCATACTAATATACCATTCATTGCATCACATAAAAGATAGATATAAAACAATAAGTAAAATGTAATGGTTATAGCCCAAAAACAAACTAAGGTGGCCCATCCCAAGCTAATAGGATAATCTTGAATCCTAAATACAAAGACTGCTTCTCAAGCATCTTCACGTTTTTGGTCAATCCATTCTTCTGCTCCTTCGAATCTTCATATGATTACAATTTCAAAAACTCATTTTATGTACGAGGGAGTAAGATGAGAAGAGAAATACAAAAGAACTATAGGAACGCATGACACGTAAGCCATATTTAAAAATTACAACCATTGCAAAAAAATGGAGCTATAACCATGCATGTCAAACACCGTGCATATCAAACATATCATACATATGGTATTATGAATTTTGTTAATAATTATCGATATGGGCCTTTAATCTTTGTTGCCTATGAAGGGGTCAAGGGGCGGAGCCCCTTGCAGGGGTTTGGTGGCCCTGGCTGATAATTTTTGAAAAATAACACTCACTGTTTCTGTGAAAAACATCACGATTTGACAAATTTTGTCAACATAATCATGTTTTTAGGAATATTTCAATCCCTACTGTTTATCATGCTGGAACATCCATTGTTCCTCTGCCAAAACCAGACTTTCATTACAGGATCAAGTTTAGGATATTAACAATTAATATACATACACTAAATCATAGAGAAAAAAATATACGATTAACTTTTAATCAACAATTGAAATTATTAGTTTAACTAGATTAACATATTAATCGTGACTGCCATTGAATAGAACACATATAACAAACATACTCGTCAAAAAATAGTAAAACAAATATGTATCACATACATATCGCATCAACTAAGAATTTTAACCCGAATCCGGATCGCACAAGTGGCTATGATACCACTGTTGAGACCATCGACGTACCCCATGGAACAGCAGAAACAAACACGACAGTCTCACCAACGATCCAAGTACAAAAACTCATATTCAGGAGAAAGAGATATGATTTCTCACCTTGGGTTCCTTGAATAACAATAATACAACAATGACTCACGATCTAACGAACGATTCGAATCCTAGCCTCTACGAATATCTTATCAGTCTCTACTCAGTTCTCCCAGTTGAAAAATCGTTGAGAGCAATTTCGAAATTTCTGAAAAGGGGATAAAAACGACTGTTAGGCCAACATCTCCCTTTTTATATGTATTGCCCTAGCTATTAGGGTTCTAATCTAAATTTAATATAGAATATAATTACCCTAATTATGTTCTTTTAATTAAATTCGGTATTTTAATGTGTAATTAAAATTACACGTGCATATATATATATATATAATAACGACACATTTTATTCATATACAATAAAATTATGGATAACTAAAACATTTATAAATTACTATTTTCAACCATTGGGTGTGACCCTGTAGTTTCATGTAACGTTAGTAGTAATAATTAGAATCATTCTAATATTACAAACAATGAGCGACATCTAGCTATATATCATTATTACCTAAGTTACAAGAAGTCATGATTCGACATGACATGTTCGTGACTAACTCTTTTAATGTATTAAATCATTTTGTCCTTTATATCTAGAATTAACACAAGTCTTGGAATAGTCACAATCATATAGCCCATCTATTATTTCTTGATATCTAGGGAAGACTATAATAAACGAATAATTTGTGATATCTCATATCAACTTATTC